TTAATTCATTTTGCATCACTCTTACTCTGGGCTGGTTGTTCCTAGACTGTAAAATAAGCATTTTTTTTACTGAGTAATTTAAAAAAATCAATACAATATTCGCTTGTGTCAGGACTCAGCAGGATAAACTGAAACATGGAGAGGCTGCTCCAAGTACAAATGGCTACAAATAAAACTTACAGTAACATGATTATTGTGTATTACATTGTTTCCATAATACTTATCACATAATTTCTTAAAGATTAGTTGATACCTAGGCCTTTCCAGGAGCCTGAAACTGTGGGCCCTAGATAAATTATAATTTTGTCTCCTACAAAAAGGTACCAGGTCTTTAAAATTGCATAGCTTAAAAATTAAAGACTTTTGTGTATTTTAAACATTGAAGATATTTAGCAGTTTATTAATAATCAAAATGGTTAAAAATAAAGTATACTTTTCTCCATTGTTCTGTTAGACTGTTGGGGTGTTGGCTTTTTGAGGGGGGGTTGGTGTCTTAACTAGACAATACAAATAAACTGAACAGTTTGTTTGGGGGTGGGTCAGTTTCAATCTATGGTCTTCAGGCACCAGCTGGAGTTTGCAAAGTTTTGTATGCAAACATAGAAGAGAATATTTCCATTGAAAGAAAAATATATACATTGCACAGCTATGTCTGTTGATTAGAGCTTCTGTAAAATCACGGGTTGTTTTTCCTTGAATAAACCTAATTTAAACCTGCCCCTTTAAAACTTTTTAAATTAACTTCCTATTACGCCAGTGCAGACCACTGTGAGCAGCTCTAGTTATTCTGAATCCTTGTCTTGTTAGGCCGTGTTAAAAATAATTAGGTCTCATTTTTTAATATCCTTAGTTGGATGCTAAGTCCCATTTACTGGGTAACACTTGTGGCCTATGTTGTACAGAAGTAGAAGTAAGTAATGATAGTGGTTTCTTCTGTCCAAATCAGTGGAACTGATATTCAGCATCTGCATGACAACAGTGCTTAGAACAGAGGTTCTGAAGCTTTCCAGGCTCCTGCCATAATTTCTGGTGTGACCTGACTTTATCATAGAATTTCTTCCAGGGTTCACTTGTAAGGGTTTCAGTCCCATTTGGGATTGTGACCCATAGTTTAGAAACTACCAACCTACGAGTCAGGGATGGGCAAAATACAGCCCGCAGGCCAGATGCAGCCCACCAGGTCACTCTGTCTGGCCCGCAGGGCCCCTAAAAAAATAGAAAATTAATATTTATCTGCCTCTGGCTGCCTGTCATGCGGCCCTCGATGGCTTCCCAAAACTCAGTAAGTGGCCCTCTGTCCGAAATTATCGCCCACCCCTGCATAAGTCAATGAGCTAAGGTTCTAGTATGGTAGGTTGTACACAAACACATAGAAAACCAAAGTCTGGGTCACAAAGAGTTTAAATACTAAAAGGACTGCTGTGAACACTTGTCAACAATCACACTGACCAGCATTAACCTTATTCACCAGTCTAGACCAGGAAAACCTATGTTCGGCTCCACGTTACTTTACGTGGTTGTTGGTCACCATGTTCAGAAACACTAAGATTTCAAAACAGTTTAGACAATGACTTTCATTGATCTTGATACTTCAGTAAACCATTTGAACTGATCTAGTTATTGGAAAGATACTGTAACCCAGATGCAAAAGCTGCCAAAACAATTATTATGTTATCACTCTTATCTTCCTAATTTTTTTCTTCTTCCATATGTGATTAGATTGTTAAGATGGGTCCCTTCCATCCCTATGTTTCTGAAAAGAGAGAGAGCATTGATTCTCATTCTAGTTACCTCATGAAGGAAGTGTGTTGTCCTCACCTGCACTCCGATAGGAACGGTAAAAGTTATTGGGATTTTTTGGATTGTAGATGTACAGTAAAATGACAAAGGGATAAGCAGCCCTAAATGTAGCATGAGAAGGATCCCTCTGGTGCAGGCACCACAGCTGGAAGGCCTAAGTTCCCTTCTGAAGGATTCTTACAAGCCTTGGCAGAGTGTAAGCTGGAGGCAGAAATGGCAGTGATTTGGGGTTTGGTCCTGGCACTTAACTGTGCAGAGATTTGGGGCATTGCTGGGGCTCACAGGAAAGCTGAGGGTAGCTATTGTAGGAGATGAGCCACTCAGTCTTTCTGAGTTATACCATCAGCTTCTTCAGCCTATGGAACAGCTAAGGATTAGAAAGATACAAAGGTGGTTTCCATTCCCCGGGATGCAGATCTTATAGTGGTTTAACATTTTCCACCCAGGAGCCGAATCCACTTATTTTAGTTTTCTAAGAAGATCTCTATCCAAACAGCAGCAACAACACTTGACAAGTTGATATTTTGGAAGGAGAAACACTTAAAACCCCAATAACTTTTTTCATTCATTGTTTTATGCATCATAAACCCTTTAAAAGATAGCTTATTTGAAACAGTAACTGCATGCTGCTGCATTAGTATCAGATGCAAAGGGGATCATTTAGCTGGCTCTTTGACTAGAGCTCAAGTGCTTCAATTGGTACACAAATAGAGAAAGAGAGCACTACTGAGGACCAGTGAAAGAAGGAAATACAATACTTTCAACGTATCATCTCTTCAAAGCACTCCTATTATAAAAGTACTAGAGTGTGACTTCTATTTTTAGTTAGTATCATATTGAGGGTCTAGTAGTAATCTCCTCTCTTGGTCCCTTAATACCAAACGTAATTAGTTTTAGATGTTTATCAAAAAAAAGTCTGGTAGTAAGTAATGATAAAATCCCTGTTATTACAGCTGCCAGATCAACCTAGAACATACAGACTAGCAGCTGTCACAGGAGAAGTCAATTATAATGTGGGTCAGTGAGAACAAACCAAGAAAACAAAAGCCAATGTAACTTGCATTTGCTTACTTACTGAGATAAGTCTTTGAAATTGCTGGATACTGTTCGTTTGATAGTTGTAAAGAAAACATCAATTGATTTTTTTTTTTTTTTAAATGTTTAAAAAAAAAACCAATTTTTTTTTTTTTTTAAATGTTTAAAAAAAAAACCAATTTTTTTTTTTTTTTATTTTTAAAAAAAAAAACAAATGATTTTTTTTTTTTTTTTTTTTAAGTATTTACTTTTCCTGTCCCCTTCATGCAAATTCCTCAAGTGGAGCAGGTAAATAATAAGGAATGGACATACCCATTCCTTGATGGTGGTTATTAATACAGAGATCCCTAGATGCAAGAGTATTACTGTCACAGTTAATTTTTGTTTGTTCAGTATAAAATCTGAGACTATGATAACAGAGGAGGAGAATGGCTGAACATACACTGTAAACAAGTGTCAACTTTCAAGTTGTTGGTACCATACATAAGAACAGTTATGCATGCATATTAATAGTATGCAAATGTAGATGAATGACTACATGTATACACTCTTCTAAAGAAAAATACTATCAGATTTAATAGAGAATTCTATTTTCTCATAAAACCTTTTCACCTGATCCATGTAATTGTAGACACTGAATATAATTTCTTTTAAATTCTTTAACATGGTGAAAAATGATCTAGAGAGGAAATTTTCTGATGAATGCTATTTTAAGCATTGATTTAGGTAACCCTGGTAGAATCCTGGTAGTTTAATATCTATAAGTCCTGTAGAATTTTTCAATATGAACAAAATATGCTGAAGTTGTATATAATACAACAGGTAAACGTGACTTTGGGATTTGATTCTTCACTCATTTGAAAGTTCTACTCGTGAGGCTACTCCTCTTGAATATACTCGGTGAGATTTGCCTAATTGAGTGGGTCTTAACTTATTTCAGAACTGATGCACCAATTTAAATCTGCCTTAATCATTTTGTGTGGTTCACATATACAATGATATATTAAAGTCCCAAAAGAAATTATTTATTGTGAAGGGTGAATGTATTAATGTAGTATCCAGTTAACTTCAGCAAAGAATCTAACAGATCAGAGTAGTTAAAGAGAAGCAGCATGACATTTCACCAGAGATTAAAGAAGTCAGGTATAAGTTTAAAATCAGAATTAAATGGAAAAATCGGTAATATTTGAAGTAGGTAGGTATGCTGTGCCCAGGTAAGCAATAGCACATTTTTATTCATGAAGAAATCTGTTGGAACATTATATCTACATTTGTTTTTGATTTAACATATTTTAGTTAAAGAATTTTAAAATGTATCACTCTGTGTTAAGGAGGTTCTACAAAAGGCATGGTTCTTTTGATTTAAAGCAGGCATGTCAAATGTATGGCCTGTGGGCCAGATCTAGTCCATGGACCATTGCGAATCACTCATCTGACCCGCGAGATTAGATGAGTCTAACAGCACTGATTTAAAGTGTAATCTGAAAAGTGATTCAATGGTACTGCTGAATTTCATGATTATTCTCTCTCAGTGACTTAACATATCAGTCTGTTTTGTTTACAAAAGGATGAAAAGGATAAAGTCAAAGTTAAGGTGCATCTTTCTGAGTTTTCCAATAGTAATAAGAATTATGCAGGTCAAATCTGTTCCCATTACACTATCCCATAGCTATGTGGTTTCTGTTGTACTGACAGGAAAAGAAAAAAGCAAAATAGATTTTAGTTGGTCTAATAAAGGATATTGGATTTACCCAAAGAACCTTGTCCACCAGTAAAGTAAGCACTTGTATTTCTGAATGCACAGAAAGAGACGATTTGTTTGCTGGGAGACACTATTTTTTGAAAGTCAGGATCTACTTGAGGATTTAAAGAATGTGGTCTTGATTAACTTCCCTTGGGTAGATCAGAAGTAGTTATGTTAACACAACCAATAGACTGGAACAGCACTGTACCTAGACTCCTGGCAGCTATGGGCAAACTTTTAGTATCGGGTCCCCTTTGCCAAAGATGATGATAATAATAATTTTAAAATTACCATTTTGGGGCCACCTTTCTGTTTGGGCCCGAGCAGCCACCTGGTTCACCCATGCCTGTGTCTGGCCCTGGACTGGAATATGTGAAGTCTCATTCTTAGCAATAAGTGTCATCATTTTGTTTCCTATCAGGTGGAAATACTCGACTGGAAGACAAAAAAACAGCTGTGCTTTCTGGATAAGGTAAATGAAAACATACAGGTAAGATGGCAGGTGACTTTTTAGATTAGGTTATTTTTCCTTAAGGAATTTTAGTGACTGTGAAAGGGTAAGGCAGTGGCGATGTGTAGGAGGCTCACGGGGGCGCACGTGCACCCCCTGAGAGTGTTGGTGCACCCCCTGACTGGCTTAGGCAATGGGCAGGGAGGGCAGGCGGGAGTGCTGGTGTCCCCCCTGCGAGTGCTGGCTGGGGAGTGGGAGTGCCGGATGTAGCGCCACAGCTGCTTCTGGGAGTGCTGCTGCAGCTTCCTGGTCAGTGAGTTTTGCCATGGGGGGACCCTTATCCCCTGTCGGTGAGATTGGCCACAGGGGGACCACCCCCTCGGTCGCTGACTGGTTGCTGGGGTGGGAATACGTGCCCCCCCCGACTAAGGTGGCACCAGTTGCCCATGTGGTGAGGGGGTGGAGTTATATCTGCACAAGCAAGCTCTCCTACATTGCCTTATAAAGTACCTTATGTCTATTCTAGGAGCAGGAGTCAAAACTTCCCTCTGAATTTTCATTCATGCAATCCTCAGTCTCTCAGCTAAGGTCACTGAGTATTGCAGTGGGTACCAGTTATGTCTCAGTGACCCAAAATCCATCAAACCATGATCACGTTTTCAAAATTTGCAATTACTGCCAACATGGATGAATTTGAAACACAGTCTACAGGTGAAAGGCTCCCCCTTTCCTTTTACAGGACAAATAGCTTGACCTATTTATGTTAATACCAAAATACTTTGGCAGTATTTCAGAAAGTGTTAGGGACAGTGACCTGAAAAATGTTCACTAGAGTATTCTTGTGCCTAATGGTCATATTTTAAAACATGTCACTTACATGAACAATTTTTTGGTGTTGCTTAGGTGGAACCACATGCTACAATTAGAGAGATCAGATTGATGTTCCATAAATTATGTAAGTATTATATTTTTGAATGGATATATAGTGAGAGTAAGACCCACCCAAAAGAGCATGCAGTGAATCATCACTCAGCTCTTACCTATACTCTGCAGTAGTAGTTAGGAGGTGACTACACAGACTATAGAAGATGGCTACAACAAAGGAAAATATTCTATTGGAATATTCAGTACATATTATTTAAAGGGAAATTGTGTAGTTTAATAGAACATGCAATGTATATACACATTAATGCTAAGTAACCTGAACATAAGCATTAACTTAGCTGAGACTTTATAATAATTGTTCTCTTTTTTTCTAAACTCCTATTATTTATACAAACATTTGCTATTGTTTGTATGATTTTCATAATAAACATAAATCATAAAAAATCTCCAGCTAAAACTTTCTCTTCTTTTTGCCATAATTAAAACAGTAGGTAGTCCACAGGCAAAACTTATGGATTATTTTAGTATTTTCTCTTTTGTCTTGCAGATCCACAGTGGTATTCAGCAAGGCAGTCAATAAGACTTAAGCCTAGTAAGTATTAATCAAGTCTGGAGTAATAAAGATATGAACAGAGTACTTGCAGGGAGGGGTGCTCTATGGCCAAGTTTTCTACAGTAGGTGGGCAGTCTGCTAACTAAGTAGTAGGGCTGTGTGAAGCTTCAGTTCCTGATTCAATTTGGCAGGGATATGGCCTGATTCGGTGGCCAAATCTCTGAATCTGAATTGAATCAGAGAACCCTTTAATCTCTCTGAATCAAACTGGAACCCTCAAATCGGCAAGATTTGAAGAGATTCGGACAGGTTTGGAGATTTGGACATAGACACAGCTTTAAATGTATTTTCTACATACCTCTAGGTAGCAGGGACTCATGAGTGTTGCGATGCTGGGGTACATGGGGTATCTCATAGGAGCACGGGGCTCTCAGCTTGCTCAGTAGCAGACCTAGAAGCGAACCAGACGCTTCCAGGTCCTCTGGGGAGTGCGCTGGGGGGGCCCCCTGCACACCCTCCAAGCTCAGCAACTGGTGCCTCTTGGGTTGAGGGGGGGCACCCAGGGTTCCCCTGTGGCCAGTCTCCAAGCCAGGGGAACATGGGGGGCCCCTTAGCGCACTCCCCGGCATACCTGGAAGTGGACTGGAAGTACTTCCGGTCCAGTTCCAGATTCACTGCCGAGCATGTGGAGGGGCCCCCTGCGCTCCTATGGGACACTCCATCCACCCCAGCATTGCAGCGTTCACAAGCCATGCTGGTACCCTGAGGTATGTAGAAAGAACATTTAAAGCTGTGTCTGTGTCTGAATCACTTATTCTCTAAATCAGCATTGCATCTTCAGATTCGGATTTGGCTGAATTGAATCAGGGACAGTGAATCAAATCACTGTCGCTGATTCAGTCTGAATCTGAATTGAACAGGTGCTTCGCACACCCCTATTAGGTAGCGATGTGGGAAACACATGGGACTGGCACTCGCTATCTAATTAACTTGAGAGTTTACATTGTGTTTTAATGTATTTATTTTTAACTATTGAGCACTTTTACTTTGGAGACAAGCAGCATGGAATCTTATATTACCTTCACCTAACTGCAGAGAAATAGACCAAAGAGTGGGATTTAGTTATCTAAGGGTTGTGCGCTAGAGTTATCGGTTCACTTTAATTCTGTCTCAGGTGGGAAGTCACAGTTCTCTTGGTTGATAAGCCATTGCAAAATACATTAATGTGAATAGAGGAATTGCTGATGCAGCTGATGCCAGTTGGCTGATTCAATTTGTTTAGTCCTAAGTATTCCTAATAGAAAATACTTATTGTATGGCCTTGGTGCATAAGAGAAAGTGTAATTGAAACAAATCTGTTAATTCTTCCTAATTGTTCAATTAAAACCTTGTACTTACTTTTCTTTGCCTCTTTTAAGCATCAGAAATTTTATGCATACCTTTAAAATTATTAAAATAGTGCAGGTTATCACATTATTTTGGGATTAGTTCATGGAAAATGCACGATTTGACCAGCTGTTTGTATATATATTATCATGCCACATCCAGGGACCCTTGCTGAAAACTTGTCAGAGGCGAGAGCTGGACCTCTTAGGATGCCTCTGAGTACAGAAGCAGAAAGCCTGATTACCCTCAGCCCAAAGCAGGCACGTGTCTCAAGTCAAACCTCTTGTGTTGGAAGAAGTCAAGTAAACAACTAAACTAGGATTTAAGGAGGAGTGAACATATATATTGCCATGTAAAAGAATCTACCCATCACTTCTCATTGCCACAGAAGAGCCAAAACACTGTGGAACTGCCAAGAATCACTGGGCTGAAATGAGAGGCAACTAATTAAGTTATGCAAGGGTTTTGCATAATGTCATGGGGGAGGTCTTTCTAGGACAGCATTTCCCAAACTGGGGGGATGTGCTCCCTGGAGGGATGCAAAAGCTTTTGGGTGTAGGTCTAAGTGAATCACAGTGCAGTCAGTGACACAACCCATTTCAGCTGCTACTGCCACTTCCCTCGCTGCAGATTCCCCTCACTCATGGCTATTGGTAGCTATCAGTGACTGAGGGGAACAGTGGTGGCATCTGCAGTGGTGAAAGTATCCAACCATAATACAGCAGGGTGTAAACTCATGAGTTTTGGGAAACATCAATCTAGGGAGTTCTTGAATGATGCAAATTGACCCACCCAAAAGAGCATGCAATGAACCATCGCTCTTGGCTTTTATCCATACTCTGCAGTGGCAGTTGGGAGGTGACAAAGCAGGTTATAGAAGTCAGGGCTTGGTATTCTTCTTCATGGTGTGGATATCACTGATGCTTTATGGAGTCTCCTTGTTGCTATTGTTCTGAATACAAGAGCAAGCAAGCTGAATGGAAACATTCTGAATTTATTTGTGGACACCTCAATAAGTGTATGCGTCAGGCGGAGGATCTGTCAGACTGATCCAAGTGGTGTGGAAGGTTTCTTTAGGGTTAAGGTGCTACAATAATTTACTTTAATTTCACTGAAATGTGTATAACTGCTTCTTTTTCTCAGAGGGAAAAGCCTTGAGGGATGAGGAAATTCTGCAGCACCTCCCAGTTGGAACAACTGCTACACTGTATTTTAAAGATTTAGGTCCTCAAATAGGATGGACTATGGTGAGATATGCTTCAGATCTGACCCATTTTAACTAATGTTTTTCCTTAGTTACTTCTTGCATCACTTTCTGTTTCCATTTATTTAGGATTTCCATTTGCTGTCTGGTCTGATAAGAGATGCAGACAGTGAATCCTTCTTTTCAGTACAGTTCATTTAGTCAAAGAATCAAACAAAAGAGTGTAATGCAAACCTTGCAGTTCAGCCCCTATGGAAAAAAAACAGTGGTTGCTTGCACATGGTAGACTGGCATTACAGAACTCAAAAGTATTTAGGCATCAAGCTCTCATTGTTTTCAGTAGAGTTAGGCATCTAACTGCCTGTGAGGATCTGGGCCTTAGTGATTATACAACTTCTGTTCTTTCCTCTCAGAAATCAGGTTTATTTTGGTGTCCTGGAGTTCAGTCTGCAAAAATGAGTAAGTTTCTTGACCCCAGTAAAAATACTCTGGAGAATAAAATGACTCATCTGCTTGTTCGCAGAGGACAGAACAGCAATGGCAGGCTGGTGAAAACTGGTTATATCAACAATATTAATAGTTGTCCATCTGACATCACACGTTCTGCTGTCTTAACTCAAAGGAAAGTTCCATCATGGAAATATTATCCTGTAGCATTAAGCAAGGTAGCCAGTGTCTCTGTACTAGGCCTCCAGAACTTTTGCAAGATGCATATTGTCCTTTAGCTTTAATTTAAATGTTACAGCATAAAGGGAAAGTTCATTAGCAATTTAAAGGCACATTTGTCATTGTTAGCTACAGTGATTCATATATGACAAAGAGAAAATTCATAAAAATCATTACATCTAATTGCTATTCAGCAGGTATAAATCCTTATAGCCTCAATTTGGATCCTATGTTAGAAGGTCAAAATGATGATTGCAACATGAGCAGCTGAAAAGCAGAATTCATGTACACTGTACTACAACAGTATTGGCAAACATCATGAAAGTCAGAGAACTTTCATAAGATTGAACTCCATTTAGACCAGAGGCCGTCAGTGTTTTTGGGCAGAGTCCCAACAATACCCACAACCTCAATTTGTAAGATGTTGGTGTGCCAGAGGTGGATGGCGGGGGAGCCACAAGGGGCCCAATCTTTGCTGTGACAGTACAGCCCTGACCCCTTCCCTGCCATCTGCCTCGAGGCGCATATGCCAAACAAAATGCCTTCACATGCCATGCTCTGGCACCTGTACTGGGGGTTGGCTACTTGATTTAGACCACCATTGCTCTGTCACAATATTCAGATATAATCTAAGAAAAAATTCAGTTTCATCAAATAAAAAAAGTCAAGATTCTTCCCATCTAGTTGGTTTATAAATTTGGTAGGAAAAGTGCTGATGCACTTATATCAGCTGATGATAACGCAATAGTTTTTTGGACAAGAGTGCTTCTAACTGTATTAGAAGAAAAATAAATGTGTGTGTGTGTGTGTGTGTGTGTGTGTGTGTGTGTGTGTGTGTCTGTTACTTTATTAATATAAATACAATAGGTTTACCTTATTTTTCCATAATCAGGATATGAACTTCTTTTCCTCAGTTAGGAAATGACTATAATTAACAATGTCTGACACACAGTAAACAGCAATTCAAAGTGATGCTCCTACGAAACCTATATTTAAATTCAAATTCAATCATTTGAGACTACTCTCTTTTTTCCCAGAAGAGATTCTCCAGCAAAGGCTCTTCTTTTAACGTATGGTTTACACGTAGCTTTCTAAGACAAGATGAGGGATGGAGTTGCATCAATGTATATGCATCCACATTTGTCATGATTATATGTGCTGCCTTGTTAATTACACATGCAAACTTTGTCATTTGTGTATGCAATCACTGTTATTATATACAATCACTGCAAATGCGTGTGCATGCTATTCATACATATTTTCAACAATCTCAACCTCTATTTTGAAATGATGTAATGCCAAAAAATATCCAACCTGACTCAATGGAAGTCCTGAACATAGTATATTGCTAACCATAAAGAAACCAAAGCATAGTCACTGACCTACCCAGTCTTTTAATTATTTTCTTTCTGTTTTTGCAGGTATTTTTGATAGAATATGCAGGACCATTGTTCATCTATTTTCTGTTTTATTTCCGTATGCCTTTTGTCTATGGCCTGGATGAGAGATTTACATCAAGGCCACATCCAGTAGTTAAGTAAGTTCTTTCAAAGCCTTAGAGCAGTATTTCTTGCTAACATGATAGTTTTTTCCAAATGTCTTGCCACAATTGTTTTTTTAGCATTCTTAAATGCTTTTGTCTTGCTGTTTCTAGCTTGGCATGTATCTGCCATTCTTTCCACTACATCAAAAGGTTGATTGAAACAGTATTTGTTCACCGGTTTTCCCATGGAACTATGCCACTGAGGAATATTGTTAAGGTAAATTGTTACAAAATCTAACCATAGTCCTCCCTCCTATAAATTTAATCCAGCCACCCTCTATTCTGCTTCCCTGGCATAACTTTTTTGGTGAGACTTTGTGGTAATGTACAACTCTTACTCATAAACCTGTAATTCTTTTAAAAGATTTCTTACAATAACTTTGCCACTGCAAGCTATGTGCCACCACATCATTGCATCTCCTGTTATTTTTGCTCTTTTGCTTCATTGTTTTTTCAAGATGGTAATACCTTTAGCATTCTTTCCCCTTTACAGGCAGCCAGTTCTTTTAGGTATGAATATTTCTGAAGCAATTTTATATTTTAAGGGGGGTACAATCAAGCACATAGAGATTATTTTAATTTTTTAAATTTGCTTTTTATAATATCATTTTATAATAGTTTCTTTCCTTTGCACTGTCATTTTCCATTAGGTGATTATTCATTTACCTTTGCTTCTTTAGCAAAAAGCAGGATGACTGTTCTGCCTTTCTTTCTTTTCTCAGATAAGCACAATCTAATATTAAACAGCACTGCTGTGGGAGTAGAGTCTCAGTTAATTTGCACTCTCCCTGTTTGCTGAATGCCTGCGCAGCAGTACAGTGTACTGCATAATTATGCATTGACTATGGATATTACAAAAAATTGGCAACCAAATTTTAAAACAATTTTATATTGTTTTTACTCAAATATTACACACATCTTTTCCCCCTAAATTAGGCATCCAAAATTGGGGTGCAGGTTTTAAGCAAGGAAATTGATTTCTGTGCCTGAATGGAGGCATAGGGATGCTGAAGGAACACAGGCAGGAGGAGTAGAGCCTGCTGTCTGGCCAACATCTAGAGGCTTAACCCTGTCACAACTGCTGCCAAATTGGCCAAAAGCTGCTACCAATTTGGCAGTGACTATGACAGGGTTAAGCCTTGGCATCTGGCTGATCAGGAAAAGGTGGATGAATTATGCTGGTGAGTAGATTCTGCCCCTGTTCCATGTTGCCAGATTTCAGCCATGACTCTGGAAAATTCTTTTTCTTCTTCATTCTGCCTTCACAAAATAAGGTGCACGTCTTATTAGGGGACATGTGGTATGTTGGAAAATATGGTATATAAAATATGGAAGTTAGCAGATAATATTCTATATCATTTAGCTTTAGGGTACTTAATATTTAAACTGGGAGAACAGAGTGTAAACATGCAACAAGTGATCCCAGTGACATAATACCCAGACTTCATTATAGCAGTTTGTAGTGTGGGAATGGTGCCCAGATTTTCAAGAGGATGTTAGTACAGGGTAAGTTTGTGTCACCAAGATTACTTGAGATAGTTTGGGGTCCCCCTCTATTAGCCTCTCAGATCTAAAATAGGGCAAATCTTAAGTCCGTAACATTCTTAAACAATGCTGTAATATTCCCCAAATTCTCTCTCATATCTACTAGGAGGTGTGTGAATTTACATTTGGCTCACTATTTATTAATTTTTAATTATACATTGTCATAGTGCATGCTATAAAGGACACCTGAATACAGTCTTTCCTTTGTGAAGGAAATGTAAAGTTGGCTCCATAATATTTATTAGGTACATGGCCGGTGCTTCTGACCTTTAAACCGTTTTTCACAGTGCCATCTAGGGAGTTAATTTTTAAAATAGGGATTAAACAAGAATGGTAAGGTAAAGAATTAAAGGAGAGACAACAATGTACTGTAGTGAAAAGAGTAACTATCAGGTTGGAGGGAGATTTCTGGTGGAGTTCCTCAATAACTGGTTTTTGGACCTCTCTAATTTAATATCTTAATGACCCAGACACAAGAAAATAGAATGTGCTGATGAAATTTACATGAATTGGGAGGCATCATCAATATAGAGGAGAATTAGAATATCATGCAGGGAGAACTGGGTGACGCTGAAGACAAGAGTAGTAAGAAATTAGATGAAATGCAATAGTACAGACTACAAGGCCATGCACTTGGGGATTCCTATTATAAATTGGGGGCTCTTAGTTGGAAGTGACAGAGTGGTAGAAGGATTTGGGTATATTAGTCAACCACAGAATGATGTGACCCACTAATGTTATATATTCATAAACTATGCAAATACACTCCTACAATGCATCAATTGAAGTAGTTCCAATAGAAATAAAAGAACATTAATGTTAATGTGCAAGGCAGCAGTGAGATCTTATCTGGAAGGCTGTGTACTGTTTTGATCACACAAATACAAGATAGATGAATTCAGACTGGAACAGGTGCAAAGAAGGACTCCTTAGATGATCAGGGAAATGAAATAGAGGTTATCTTACATAGGAACTTAAAAGGAGCTTGGCTTGGTTAGCTTAGCAAGTAAAGGGTGAAAGAACATATGAATGTACTCTATACATACTTCAAGGGATGTAAATACCAGAGAGGAAGAGCTATTTAATTTAAAAGACTGTGTAGACATGAGAAGAATTGGGTATAAACTGGCCATGACTAACTGGTAATGAGGGCCACTGGCAGACTTGGGGAAAAAAACCCCAAAACAGTGCTTTACTTTCAGCTTAACTCACCCCTGCACTTAGCGCAGTGCATGCTCAGAAGAAGAACCGTGTCAGTTGGACGCAGCTTGCTCAGCGTCTGTATAGATTGTGCACTTCAGTGGGGCTTTTTGGTGCTTTTATCTAATAGCTGATTGAATCTTTGTGTCTTTTTCTTTCAGTGCAAACTGTATTTGTGTGGTAAATCATATCCTTTGACCAGTGCTCGTTCACTTTAATTACCACATAATTACAACTGTTTACATTTTAATGTTTAAGACATATTGTAAAGAACTTTCTTTTCTGCCCTAAAATCTGTTGGCAGATGATTTGGCCCCTGACATCACTGAGGTTTATGACAAGATTTCCTTTTTGTAAGTTTCCATCCCAAGAGCACAAGCCCTCAGGGGCAAAGTCTGTAATTTTGCACAGAGCTAAGTGCGTTTTGGGCCATAGTGTAAGCTAGAGCTGTCCAACTGGCAACCTGTGGAGTATGTGCAGCCCACGGCTTAAATTGTGGCCCCTGGGCTCCCACCCAGCTGTTGCTCTGCCAGTGTTCCAGATGCAGAACCAGCCAGGGGCTGTAGGCTCCCTCTTCCTCTGGCTCCTCATTCCGTGCCCCAGGTGGCAGGGAGATACGGCTCAGCCAGAGAGCTGAAGGTAAATTGGAGCACCCAGGTGCGTGGAGCAGAGTTATGTGGTGTGCAGCCCTATGCCCCATGGCTCCTGGTCACCTTGAAGTTGGACAGCCCTGCTGTAAGCCAGTTATTAACTGTAGTTGGCAGTGAGGGTGAAGTTACATGTTACACTTTAACCATACAAAGGGCACTTAAAACTTGAACATCCATGTGAACCCATGCTAAGTGCCCTCCAAGCATCTGAAAAGTTATGCCACTTCAGGTGAGGGTTACTTCTGAGTTATGCCACCTAGATTGAGTTAGGATATCTTCAGTCTGCTCCAGCATCCCAGGATGCACCACTCCCAGGGTAGCTCTGCCTCCACAGCAGGGATAGCCCAGGTATTGTGGCTTCTAGCCACATCCTGCTCCAGCCCTCTAGTGACAGGTCAGAGCTGTGCAGGCAAGAAACAGTATTAACCCTTAACATGCAGTTGTTCACAGCACGTTCTAACTTTAACACTGCTTAGCATTTTACAGATTGAGTATGGTCAAAGTGTAATGAGTAACTTCATCCTGACTGGGAGCCTCAGCATAAGTCCTACTTCTTCTGCTACAGAATTTATATCCGTCTCTGGAGAAGTCATTTAATCTCTTTGTGCATTAGTTCCCCATTATCTGTAACTTAGTGATGATAACACTTTCTTTTCTCTGCCATTTCTCTTGGTCCCCAAGTCTGAGGGAGTGACTGCCTCTAAATATATGTTTGTATAATACCTTGTAAAACAGGGCTTCAGTCTTGTTTGAGATCTCTGGGGACTTCCATTGTGCAAACACTAATTACGGCAACAGGGAAAACTGAAATTCATCATAACACTTGATACAGGTTGAAAGGTGCACCCCTTCTTGTGGGGTGTGGCATTGTATTACCCCTCGCACAGTCATTCCTGAAAGAACCACATTGTCAGACCGACTGGCTACAATCAGCAAATAGCTTTTCAGATGCTGAGCTTAGATACACCCTGCCTCTGGGCATTCCTGCTAAAAATGCTGTGTCAGTGCATGTCTGTAGGTAATTGCTATCGTACTACTTGACTGTCTCTGTACATTTAAGCAAAGCCCAAGTATCAGAGCCTTCCTCCTCATGACAAATAGCTCTTCTGGGAGGATGTGGACTTACAGCTGGTCATAGATTTGCCATTAAGCAATTGCTGCGAGTGCCAAGATTATCTCAGGTCAAGTGCAGGTTTTATTACTGTGCTCACGTATCTTTAACTGGAGACTTTTAGGCTTGGCAGATTGTGTTGCATTTGAAATGCACATTAACAAAATAAAAATCCCTTCCCTCCCGCCATGCTGCCTGTGGTATTTGTATGGAACATTGATGGCAAATTTACATTCCTTGAAATTCAGCAAAAAATTCAACTTGCAATAGCAGAGGACCAGCACGTTTGCCAAAGCTCTTTAACAGAGTTATTTTAAAATTTGTTAGGAACCCTCTGAAGCCTTCAAACTGAAATCCATTTCTTTTCATCCTCCCACCTCGGCATGTACTCACCTACACAGTTATGTTATTGCTAGGATTTTCTTTGCATTTGTTTTGCAGGAAAACATTTTAAAATGAACGTGACTTTTGCAAACAATGTAAGGACATCAAAATGAGATTGAATGGTGAGCTTCGATATTCAGCGGTGACCCTTTAAACAATCTGTAGGCTGGCCACTTTAAGATTAACTGCTCCACAGTGATAATACCTGGATTTTTTTGCTTTTCTTTTTTTATCTTTCTTCATCTCCTAGTGCCTTACCTCAACCCTAGTCATTCACTCTGTGAGAAATGTGTTTCCCACGAGAGTCTTCTCTAATCTTTGCTCACC